CACCCTGCCGACGGGTAGAGACCGCTCGCTGTTCTTCCCACCCGAGCGTGTTGGCTTTCATGCTGTGTGTCTGTGCTTCCCGCTTGCCAAAGGACGGCAGAGCTTTCGTTCCCCCAGGGAGGGCCAGCTGCCCGCGCTGCCTGCTGCTCTGACTTGCACCCGAGCTGCCCACTCAGCAGTTTCCAAGTGAGGAGTCAGTGCTTTACGTGCCTTTGTGACAGTCGTCTGTGCCGTGGAAAAGCAATAACCAACAGCTTCACAGCCCATGTGTCGCTGGACCATGGCCTAAAGGGAACGTCGGGCCAGGACATTGCCTGCTTCGTGGTTCCTATGCTGTCCGCACCCAGGTTGTCTTTTCCTGACCGAATGCTACTCGGTGTGGCTGACTTCGGCAGGAGGTAGATGAGCAAAGACCAATCACTGATATTGCGTGGCTCTTGAGAGGGACTTCTGCTTGCTGCAGTAACAGTATTGTCAACCTCAAACCAAAAATCTTGCTGATGAATCATGAGATTAGTTGAATTTTTTAATTTTTAAAATGAATTTGTATGGTTTTATTTGGTGTTTGATTTTTCTTTGTAATAAATTCTTAGCGTTTGGTTTTCAGGCTTTGCTTTCTCCGGCTGAGAGAGGAAACTGTGGGTAAATGAAGTGAGCAAACCCATTTCTAACACCAGATCTTTATATCCTAGGAGGACAGTTATGAAAGTGTCATCATTAACCTTGTATTATTTTAAATAACCATATTAGCAGCTCCTATCTGCAAGCAGGGGCGACCGACAAATACCCTAATTGTGTATATTTAGTATTTGGCTCACTTCCCCTCTCCAAGGGTCATGCTATTTAGGGAGAGTATCCTCTTTCATGTATGAAACAAAGGATAGAACAGTGAAAAACTAAACTTGCTGCAAAATAACCTAAGCCATAATACTCGTTTTTTCCACTGAGACTGTAAGGAACTGTACTTCTCCCCCTGTGTGGTTTCACTAGTTGTGATAGTGAAAATGCGACTGCTGGAGTGGATAGTGCGAGTTGTGATCCAGATGTGAAAGTGGTGTGGGTCTGAGTTGGGGGAAAATGCTGGTGCTCACAGCTGACAGAAACAGCGTCCCAGCGTAGGACCTGATCCTGGAAAACTTGTTACCTGCTGCCATCTGCAAGTACTTTGTGGCACAGCATCTAATTTTCCAGTAACAGCTTGTTACTGGTGACCGTGACTTGTTTGTACAATCACTGGATTAATTTCGCCGTCTGCTCTATCTGCTGCTGCAGTTTTTATTTGCAGTGGGACAGTGTACGTCTTGAATACTTGCCTCATCTAGAAAAACATTTTATTTTCTCCCATTTTGAAGCTAACTGAAGTAAGTGATTGTATAGGGGCCATTTCCACTGTCCCAAGTGGGCCCTTCTGCATCTCCCCCTATTGCTCAAGCTGACCTGGTCTGCACGTGGATGTTGCTGGAGGAAGGTCTGTCTTCACTGAGGGAGGTTTAGGTAAACACCTAAAAATCATGAGATACTTCAAAAATACAGACAGGATTCTTCTGGCTTGAGTTTGTTGAGGGTTTTGGCTTGTTGTTCTGAGAACCGAATCCTCATGCAATGGCAGGGACCAAAGTTTTCAAGCAAACTTAGCACCTGGAGCTTTAAAACTAACATCCCCATGCCGGGAGATCAGAGATACCTGTCAGTGCTGGCCAGGCTGTTATTTTCGTATTTGTGCTATTAGTGATTTTTACTATTGCTTAAAGCTCCCGATGACCAGAGTCACTTTTGTACTTGCAAAAAAGCAGTTTTTAACAGCTGCTGGCGACTGGCATTTGAAGGCTGTCATCACTGGAGTGGAAAACCACCAGGGAAAAAACCCACTAAAGCTTTCAGTTCTTTAAATGGAAATACTGCTGTTCCCTAAGTTACATCTTTGTGAACCTGTCTGGATCCCGCGCTTGCCCTCCCTCCGCAGCTGTGTCGATATCCCCGATGTGCTTTGGCAAGGGGGACGGGGATTGGAATTGGGAGCTCTGTGTGTGATGGGCTGCTCTGGAGCCCACTGCCAGCGGCTGAGCCACTGCTTGGGAGTGAGGAGAGGGGTCGTGTTGGCACTCGTGCGTGGTACCCCCTGCAGAGCACTGGCGCTTTGGCAGAGGCGGTGTTTAAAGTGGCATAGTGGGAGTAGAGACTTTGTTTCTCATACCTGGGTTGGGGTTTGAGTATTTCTGCTTTACCCTCTGAATGCTTTCACCCTGATTTTAAGAATGGGCAGGATGGGGCCAGCAGAAGAGGATCAGACCTGTCTGGCTTCCCTCCTTGAGCTGAAGGTGGAGATCCCTCTCCTGGCAGCTCCCCAAGCCAGGGGCAGGCCCCGTTGGGCTGTGCTCACCACAATCCAGCCCTGAGGAGCCCAGCCAGGCTGCTGTGAGGATGTTCAGCACTGATGGCGTAGGCTGGCCACCTGTCTTCTGGTCTCGTGGCTTTGCGCTTATATAAGCTTGTGTGACGTCGTTTCCCGAAAATGCAGTCCCACCGGAGAGGTTCGCATACAGCAGCCTCCTGTGGCCTTACAGCCTGGGAAGCGTTCACAGGATGGGGAGAGAAGAAATCCCCTCCTTTCCCTCCAGGGAAGAGTTAAGGACTGCAGCAGCCAGAAGGGGAGGTGTATTCTCAGCCTCAGTTTAGGCTTTAGAGTCATGGAAAAACACACATTACAATATCAAGCCCCCAGAGAACCAGTCTGGCACAACCTACTGCTCCAGACCCTCTCCTTTGAGATGCACATCCCACTGCCTTCAAGGAGACCAGTCTGTGCAGCCTGGGCAAACATTTGGGTCATTGATTGCTTGAGGGCTTATTGACTGTGGTTTACGTGTATCCTTGTGGAGAGGCAGATGATACTTTGTTTTCCTTTCTCAGCTGGTTGCATCGATCGTCTTCATCAGCTTTGGCGTCATTGCTGCGTTCTGCTGTGCCATAGTAGACGGTGTCTTTGCTGCCAGACACATAGTAAGTACTTCCAAGAAAACACAGGTCCCGCAATGCTTTTATTTTAGGAAAACAGGTGATGGTGTCTGTAATCCTGTATCAGGCCACATCAGACTCTGTAAATATATGTCATGTGCTGAATGCCATTTTAAATCCTAAACTTTAGAAATATGTATCAGTTTTTCAAAAATACAAGATTTTAAGATCTTAAAACTTTGCTTTAGTATTTTTGTGTGTGCTTTGTGTTTACTGAGTCTCAAAATGATAAGATATGACGTGAACTGCCGCTATCACTGGGGGACAGTATATGAGCAGTAACATCCATTGTGTTTTAAATGTTAGCAGAGGTAGTTCTTAATGCTGACTGAACTACTGGGTGTTGTAGTAGAATGAAGACATTTGATACAAAGCTCATTAAAGTGTTACAGTATAAACAGAAAGCATTTGCATTAGGTTCTCAGTTTCCACTCGATGACTTAAAAAAATACAAGCTACTGCTGTCATGGCCAATCACTAGTACAGTGGGATGTGCAAAAGCTTCAGTTATTAGTATAGAAATGAAAAAACACAATTCCATTTCAACTTTCTAATTGAAATTTATAACTGCAAAGACATTTTTGTCCTGCAAGTCTTCAGTTTGATGACTTTTTCTGAAATTTTTGGCAAAATGGGATTAAAAAGACAGATTTAGCTTTTTTTGCCATCAGAATGGAAAGGAATTTCAGAAGGTCAGAATTACCCGTGAAGTGGAAGCTCCTCATGTCAGCTGGCTCGTTACTATCCTTGTAAAGCTGACTCCCCATTCCTGCCCCTGAGTATTCCAGTGGTGGAAATATAGCTGGAGGGCAGGAGTTGCTGACAGAGCAAAGGGCAGCTCCACTCAGCTGTGTGATAGATCTCTGTCTGTCTGGATGCAACTGGCAAGTCTTGGCCATCTCTGATCCCAGTTGCGAGGGCATGTGAGGCGTTAGCTTTGATAAAAGGTGAAGCTCCTTTGACTTCTGATCTTGACCATGTGGGTCTGAGCTCAGCAGACATGCTCTGGGGTTTTTAGGTGCTGACCTCATGGGTCGGGTAATGGCATGAGCTGGCACCTCCTCCCGGCTGGCCCCAGGGATGTCTGGGTGTCTGAGGCAGCCGGAGCTGAGCAGCTGGAATGACGGGGGCTCTGGTTTCTGCCTCTTGATGAACGGACGTGCTTTTGGCCTCCCTTCACCCCTAACAGTCCAAAAATGTCACTGTCTTGATGGAGATGTGCTCCTGCCACCCTAGAACATAGCGTTCCCAGTATTGCCTGCCGTGGCCCTGCCACCCTGAGCTTTGGATCAGACACCCAGAGAGCAAGTCTGGCTGTTCCTGGGAAGGGCTCGTTCATGTGGATACATATCCAGCATTGCTTTTCCTGAGGTTTTGCCCTGGGGACTGGGCTCCCCCAAAGTGAGACATTAATGCATGTTTGCAGGCTGAGCCATTGGTAATCCTCCAGAGCCTTCCCACAAGTCACTCAAGAGCCCAGAAAGACAAATTTGATAATAATTTAATGGGAAATTGTTATGATTCAGCATGAAGAACCCTCAGAAACACGTCAGGCAGCCTTGGGATGTGTCTGGGGGAATGAGGAATGAATCATTCAGTTCAGGGTGGCTGCCCTCACCCAAATGAGCCTGGCTTAAGAGCCCGCTCCTCCCACGCTAGCTGCAATGGATACATGCCACCAAGGACTGGGGTTAGACATCCCCGGGGGCTCAGCG